ATCTGGATACCATTTCTTGTTGCATTTCAAAAACCAGCTTTTCTTGTGCATGCTATTGTGTGAACTTCTCATCCTGAATAATGCAGTTACTCGAGGTCTGATTGATTGTGAGTTGAGTGAATTACTGGAGTAAACAGCAACAGTGCAGCCCAGCAACTGTTGTCTTGGCTTACTCTACCATTTTTGGACTTTTCTTTGTGATAAACTGACTGGAAGTCGAGTATGTAGGCAGGAAGTGTGAATGTAGTGTGTGGATGGGCTTCCCAGCAGCAAGAGGGTATGTTGTTACAGGGCCTGAGGCCACGCTCCTTTTCTGCTTGCAGGTACTTCCCAAGGCCTCGTCTCTTTTGCCTGTGGGAAACTGTCTGCTCGTAAGGCAGGGCTGTGGGAATTTGGCTAATTTGTTCTTCTGTGGTTGGAAAGCAGCCAGTTGTCACAGAGCTTTCAACTTGTTGCATCTCTGTTTCGCTATCGTCTTTCCTGGCCTGCAAGCTCTTCATTATGGCTTCCGAGGCACTGAGCGTGTCTGGCTGCGATAAGAAGTTGTCAGTGATGTTAAAAGCACTTGCGAAAGCATCTCTTTAACATGGCTTTCGTTCGGTGCTTCTCCTGACTTGTCTTCTTGCTTTGTGCAGGGCTCTGTGACTGGGTGAAGAATGCAGACCATAAAGTGCGTCGTTGTTGGCGATGGCGCTGTGGGAAAAACTTGCCTCCTCATCAGCTATACCACCAACGCCTTCCCAGAAGAGTACATCCCCACTGTGTTTGACAACTACAGTGCCCAAATGACTGTGGATGGCCGGACGGTTAGCCTGAACCTCTGGGACACTGCAGGCCAGGAGGAATACGACCGTCTGCGCACGCTCTCGTATCCTCAAACCAATGTGTTTGTCATCTGTTTCTCCATCGGCAGCCCGTCCTCCTACGCGAACGTGAGGCACAAGTGGCATCCTGAAGTTTCTCACCACTGTCCCAACGTTCCCATTCTTTTAGTGGGCACGAAGAGAGACTTGAGAAACGACCTGGAAACAGTTAAAAAGTTAAAAGAGCAAAGCTTGGCTCCCACTACCCCACAACAGGGGACTTCGCTGGCTAAACAGATCGGAGCGGTCAAATATTTGGAGTGCTCAGCGTTGAATCAGGAGGGCGTTCGGGAGGTGTTTGCTGAAGCTGTGCGTGCGGTTCTTTATCCTGTGACAAAGAAGAACACAAGGAAATGTGTCTTATTGTAGTTACCTCGGCTGATGGATGCTCAGAGTGGAACAGTGACTCGAATTCTGGAGGGCTTTTTAACGCGTTAAATGGAAGATTTGCGTCTTGCACTAACAGCTCTAAGCAGAAACGGTTTATGCAAAGGATATTCTTGCAATCTTATTGCTTCAGGGAAACTGAAACAAAACTTCTTCTTTTTCCAGCGGAGAGGTCAAATATATACTTAATTTCTGAAGCTCCAGTCTCCAGCTTCTCCAGGGATCACTTGGCTTCTGTTCTTACTTAGTGGAGGGAAACAAAGGAAGGGACTTCTCTGAAGCCCAACTTCTTTACTTTATAGCCACCGGTTGCTAGATTTGCTGCAAGGCACAAGTTCTGGTAACTTTGCTTTAAGTCTAGGTGCTGTTTTTCCCATTTCTTATTTACAGATCAAACTGGTTTGACAAATGGAAGTCTGGCTGTGCATTTGTTGTGTTTTGCCAATTCAGAGCTTGAAAACAACTTGTTTACATACAAAAATGCCAGAAATATTACTGAGATTCGCCTTGAAGTGAACTGTGATCATTTATGTGAAGAGTTAACAGAGATCTAATCCGATAAGTGAGACCTAGGCAACACCTGCAAGTATTTTGTTAATAGAAGCAAATTCCTATTGTAAGGAACTTAGGATAATGATGAATCCCTCAAATGAGAGATTTTAGTGCTGTTGCAATGGGGAGCAGATTAGGTGCAAGCCTTCCGTAATCTCCTAAACCAAGTTAAGGTTTTATTTCACTCTTCAAAGAGACTTTGCACCCTGAGAATAGAGTTAAAATGACCTCCCCAGGCTGACTGAGATAGTTGAGATGACTCTTATTCTCAGAGTGAGTTTTTTCAGTGTGATCCTGCTCTCCCTTTGATGATTCCCAGAGACTCGGGTAGAAACCCATTTGTTCTTTGAAGAGTTCATTGTTTCACTTTATCTTCTTGGAGTCACCACCTGACATTTCATAGCAAATCCTTGTGTTCTTTTTTTTCTTTCCTTTTTTTTCTGGGAGATCATTGACAGAAATTGTGGAGGTTCTGTTTACAGGGAACAGAAACGTGGGTTTCTCCTGGCAGTTGCAGTTAAGTTTGCCATGGGTAGTCAGTCACTGGATAGATTTACCTGGGCAATTTTCTCCCTGTTTTAATGGAAGTGCTATTTGTGTACTTCTCTAACTTTCTCTAGCAGCTGTGCTGAGTGGCAGCTGGCTGTGATTTTCAGGATGTACACTGTTAGTTGTGTGTGATTCTGGGACCAGCTGAGGAGCGAGTGCATGAAACCTTCCTTAGTCTTAACCTTAGAGCTTGGTGGCATGAAAGCAGCATGCTTCAAAGATGCTTTGTGTGAAACCAATGGTGCTGGACTGGGCTTTGTTGTCTGAGGTTGACAGTGCTGTCTTTGTCCAGATGCAGCCTCCGTTGGTCATTCAGAACTTGCATCCTTGTGATTCTCACACATGTGAAACTGCACTGTTGATACCCTGGGCAGAAAAAAAGCCTAATTTTAGCAAGAGAACAGGAAATATATCAACAAGGTTATTAGGGATCTTGAGTTCATCTGACCTTGCTTTATCTGATACCAAAAAAAAAAAACCAAACCCCAACCCAAAAACCAACCAACCAGAACCCAGAACAAGGGGTAGATATGTTCATATTTGTGCCCTGATTCCCCTCTCTGAAGAGGACGTGCCTTTCTTCAGCTGGTGTAACTGATGCTGACACTAACTGCAACTTTTATGTCTCTGATGTATGCTCATACAAGTACTGCTTCAGCAATCTGCAACCCATAGGTAGCAAGTGCAGTGAACCCAAATGGATGTGGCTGGTAAAGCACCACTGAGTCCCTAAGATGGGTAGGCAGCAGCCAGTTGCCTGTCGTGCGTGAATGTCTGCAGAAAGCTGGAGGCTTGTGCGTGGTTTCCTTCACCAGGTGCCGTCGTCTGGGATGTCGCTGCACCTTTGGCACTTGCAGAAGTGCTGTTCCAGATGTGGCTCCACCTGCAGCAGGGAGCAGGAGCATTTCCACCAGGTGACCTCTACTCACCACGTTCTGCCTTGTAGTAGTAGGCCTTTAGCGTGGGCTTGACGAGCTGGCAGCAATTAATCCTGTGCCTTGTAATGCAAGATTATTTTCTGTAGGTAAATTTCAGTAACTGAGTAAATAGAGTTTATCATGTTTAAAATATATTTATTTAAGCCAGTGCACATGTTTTTGTAATGCAGGTCAGGCCTTTATCATCAGTCTAGTTACCCTGGTGCAAGCCCGTAACCTTTGCTTAACTCAGATGTACTTTAACAACTTTGTGATATGTTTTAACTGCTCTTAAATAGGATTTTAATGTCAACAACAGGCACCTCTTTTTATTTGCAATTTTGTACTGAAGCTACTACTGTTTTTAGAAGTTTTTACTTTTTTGACGTACTGAAATCTCTTAGTTCTGCTATTCGTGGCTGGATGGCAGACACTGTGCAGGTGAGGAGCTCTGGTTGCACACAGCCCAGTTCTGTGGGCTCGCAGAGCAGCCGTCCTGGTGTGAACTGGAAGAGGGTATGGTGTGCTGAAATCCTCCTGCTTAAGCAATTCGTTCCAGTGGGTTACGTTATTGATGATGCTCTTCTAGAACGCTCTGTCCCCGTCTCGATCACTTAACGGGAAGATTGCACAGCAGTACTGAAGAGGTGGACACAACGGAGGTGGAACTGAGCAGAAAGTGACCTTGGAAGGACTTCAGAGACTTTTTCCGGATTTCAGAGTACCTCATCAGCAGTCCTTTAGGTGCCTTGCATGTCTGTGCCTTCCTGTTGGGAGCAAAGCTCCTGCTGGTTGACGGCTCATTTCTTCCAGCATCTCTTCTTCACGAGAATGACCTCCGGCAGCACACAGACGCACTGAGCTTTGCCATTCAGTGGGCATTCTCTCCGTTTAGGATCTTTCTTTTCTTTCTTCCTCCACCTCTTGGTGCATTTTAATGTACGTAGTGCAGTGCTTCAGTCTACAATCCATTCCCTCAGCTCCTCAGGCATTGTTTTTCCTGTGGACAGGTGACAACCACATCTCACACAATCACACGGCTGCGCCCTGTCGGCAGCAGGTCGGGATACCCCAGATCGAGTTTCCCACACCATCCAAGATTTCTGTTTACTTCATGGAAACGCGCTCTGAATGCCATCGCTCACCAAGAGGCTTTGTGTCAGAAGACCAACTTTAATCTTTCAGCTCGCAAACCATTCCTTTAACACTCGGCATCCTTGCAGTACAGCTGTGGCCGTGCACGCCGCCTCCAGCAGCTCAGCAGTCGCGCTGTTCTGAGGGCGTTCGGATGGAGAAGTGCTTTCTTGGTTTACAGCCGTAGCTATTTCGGTGGGATTTATACTAGAGCAGCCTCGCCGCTTGAGTGCTAACCCCGCTCTGCGGGACCCCGGTGCTGCGCTGGGCTCGCCTGGAGGAGCGGGCGCTGCGGGCTGGCCGTGCCCCGGCCCCGCGCCTCTGCGTCTGGTACTGATACATACACTGGCGACTTGATTTTATACTATAAAAGGATTTGTATTACAGCTAACAGTTTTTAAAGATTTTTCGTTTTTAAATTATGCAAAAAAAAAAAAAAATTAAATGGTAATAAAAACCTTCCTCATCCATCTGGCTCTCGTTAATTCATTAATTCTCGCTTCCCGCTCGGAGGTCTGCGCGGTGCGGCCGCCAGGGGGCGCTGCGAATGCACGAAAACTCGAGGGCTCTGCGCGGCACCGTCGCCCTCGGCGCACCGCCCACTTCCGCTTCCGGCCCGGCCGCCGCGATGTCGGACTCGGAGAGCGAGGAGGAGGCGGATGGCGGCCGCGCGGAGCCGTTCTCGCTGGCCGGCTTCCTCTTCGGCAACATCAATGAGGCCGGGCAGCTCGAAGGGGACAGCGTCCTCGACAAGGTAGAGCGGCCGGCTGCCGTGCTACGGCGGAGGGGTGCCGAGGGGAGGCCTCGGAGGGGCGGTGGGGGCCGAACGGGGGCTGCAGGCGCCGGGCTGGGGCGGGGAAGGCAGAGGAGCCTCCGTGATGTTGAGACGTGGCTCTGGTCTCTCCAGGAATCCAAGAAGCACCTGGCCGGGTTGGGTGCCCTCGGGCTGGGCAACCTGATTACTGAGATCACAGCCAGCGAGGACGAGAGCGCGGAGGCTGACGGAGCTCAGCTGGATGAGGAAGGTCAGGCACTGCGGTGGTGGATGGTTGGACCGGGTGGACTTGTAGGCCTTTTCCAGAGTTGGTGGTTCTGTGGGGTACCTGCGGCTGAACGGTGGTGTCAAGAGGAGAGGAAAGGCTGCACCTGGGTCGGCTGGGCTGCAAGCAGTAGCATGGTGCCTGGTGACAGGTTCTCTGGCAAAGGCCTTTCTTTCTTTTTCTTATCAGAATGAATCCCATCTTATCACTTGTTCCCCGTTGCACGTATTCTCTTCTACAAGTTTTAGCTTTTTCCATCTTATCCTTTTCTTTTCCTCATAAAGTGTTTTCCCCTGTGTTAAACTCTTGTGTTGAACGCTTCAAGCCTATTTAATGCATTGCCTGTTATTATAGGTCATGTTTGTTTATTTGTTCGTGAGCTTCTCTAACAGTTTCATTGGGTAAGTGAAAGGTACTTCTTGTGCTAAAGCTTGCTTCCTGTAAGTCTGTAGGAGAAATTCAGAGCTTTTGGTTGGAACGGGGAGAAAATATTCTCATGTGAGAAGTAAATTAAATGTTTTTATTCCTGTAAGAAAAAGGAAGCGTAGAGTGTATTGTGAAGTCAGACATGAGTAACGTACATAGGCGAAATGTTTTGTTTGATCAGATGTTTTTCTCCATAGGTTGGGTTAAGAGCACAGAAGATGCTGTTGATTACTCAGATATTAATGAAGTGGCAGAAGATGAAAGCCGTCGGTATAAGCAGGCAATGGGCAGCCTGCAGCCGATTGGAAGGCAAGGTAAATGAGATGAACATTACAGCTCTAGCTGAGCGTGTTTTGGGGCAATTGGCATTAGCAGTAGTTCTCTTGATGGGTGCTTTTGTGCCTTTTCATTCGTTTCAAGAAGCAAAATAAAAGCTTTTGTGACACCGTGTTCACAAGAAAAAGCCACTGCTTGCTATCTTCCTATTTCAAATAGTGAGTTCTTCAGCGGAGTTAAACTACACTCAGAAGAGAAACAAACATCCTTCTTTTGGGATCTCCTGCAGAGAACACTAATTCTTGCTCATGTTTCTTTAACCTCTGTTCTTAGGAAAAGAGTTATTAAGGCTGTCAGGTGCTTCTCAGAGGTAATCAAAGGTAGAGGTCCTGGCCCCTTGGAGTGTAACTCAGTCGTAACCCCTCTCCTTTTTTGCCTTTGATTTCTTTTTTCAAGGGAGAGCACTTTTTCTCCAGAAAGCACTTCAGTTCTTTTGTTGGTGCCTGAGATCTCTGTGCAGCAGAAGTGGATTTTCAAACGTGTGGCTTTCTCTTTTAAGTTCCTACATAAGTTTCCTTTAAGTGTCATAAGCTCAAATATTGCAAATTAGTGTGAAGGAAGCTGAACTGGTAAGAGTTTTAGTTAAGAAATGAGAATGGTCTTCTTTGCTCAGCTAATGAAGGGGGACAGACTTCTCAGCAGGTTGGGACAGATATGAGATAGTACAGATGGGAAGGTTGTTTTGCTCCCTTTGTAGTCAGCTTAATATCCAGCCTTATCTCCTACCTGCTTAGATGAAGATGAGGATGATTATGATGCTGACTGTGAAGATATCGATTCCAAACTGATGCCGCCGCCACCACCACCTCCAGTGCCTGGAAAGAAAGAAGATGAAAAGGATGCAGCTGCCACTGGTAAGTGAATATTTCCTTCTTCCCTCTGGCAATGTGAGTGTCTGAAGGAAGCAAGCGTTGCTGTGTGGCAGTTTGGGAAGGACCCACACGTAAAAAGCCTGCAGGCTGCATCAGAAGGTGAGTCTTTGTCCTGACACGGCGTCATGGGACTGTCTGAGATGAGCTCCTGTTCTCAGGGTAAAGTGTGATATTTCTTATGACTTAATGACTGCTAAAATACTGATGCTCACGATGAATCTGCTTTTTTTATCTCATTCTCTCAGTTGTGGCTGGGAGATTCACCTGGAGCATACAATAAAATGAAAGGTTAAACAAGAATGGTACTCATAACATCTACAGAGGCTTGATTTTTGCGTAACATGGTGTAAAAAGTAGATGTGGCATTATGTGTTTGTACTAGAGGACAAGGAGGAGATCTGTTTATACAGTGCTGGTTCTATCTTGGTGTCTGAAGATGGGGCCGGTATCATTTTGCTCTCCATCACTGCTCTTTCCTCTGCTGCCTCCAACAAGGTGGATTTCAGCAGCAGCTCTGATTCTGAGTCAGAGTTGAGACCTCAAGAATCCGGGCAGGCAGAATCCAGGAGGGCAAACTCACACTTCCTCTTGCAGGAATCGTGCAGCGAGACGCTTCCAAGCTGTTGCCAAGTGTTACAGAACTCTTCCCGGAGTTTCGACCAGGCAAGGTATTGTTAAAATATGGCAAAGTGACAGAAACTGTCATGTGGGCTTTTTAAGAATGAATCGTACCATAGGAAGGATATATAGGAGGTAGTTGCATAGATGGTCTTGCTCATCTCATTACTTTCTGGTTTAGTTTCTGTCTACTGCTGTTTCCAGACTGCAGTGCTTTCCCTGATGTATGCAAGAGCCTGTTAAAAAGCCTCATAGAAATGAGGGTGTGAAGTAATATTTGCTGTTCCCTGAGACTTTCCCTTCTGGCATTTCTGCTAGATATGAACTTCCCTTCATGCTGTCCTGAACCTGATATGGACTTACTAAAAAAAAAAGTTTGTATCCTTTTCTTAAGTCTTCGATATGGATCAGAGATTGGAACAATAAGAAGTTGGTTGTAGGAATGATTTTAAATCTTCACTGTTAGCCCTCAACTCTTTGCAGTTCTAAACTTCTTCCTTTTTTCAGAAAACAAATTTATTACAGTACTTCTTAAAGTTCTTCCAGACAGCAAATGTATTTGTTGTGTTCAATTAATTAGTTTGAATACTTAAAAACTGTTGAGAGGAGAGGAAGTGAGAGAGGGGAAGGCAGGTAAAGATGAGCTTACAGATTCCAGATCATTGCCAGTTGAGATAGCTTGGTTTTGAGAGTGCCTCCAGCACAGGTTTGTTTAAGAAGCTAAGGGTCCTGCTTGTTTGTACCTCATATTTTAATGACTTAACTAATCTCTGTCTGTTAGAAATCCAGGTGAGTCTCTAACCAAAGTTAGATCTGCCTTCCTCCAGATCACTTGCTGCTCTTAGCTTATGCAAATCTGGTGTTTCCCCTGTTGTTGCTTTTTGTTTTGGTTTGGTGCTCGGCTTGTGATGTCAGAGACTGACTCAATGTTAACAGTATTTGTCTCTGGTTGCTTAAGAAATCTGTGCTTTGTCTAAGCCTTGTAGCTTTATCTGTGCTGCTGATGGCTATTGTCTCTTTCAGTCTCCACATCTTTTGTGAGCCGTGATGGTTTGAAATAAAAATAATTTCCAAGCATTGATTTTTTTTAACGCTTAATATCAACCCGATGGCTCAGGAACTTTTTTGAAGCATAGCAATGAAGCGGTTGATTGTTAGGGGCTGGGGATTTTAGCACAGACCGGGCCTCCGAATTTCAGGACGTTCTCCTTCGCTGTTGCTTTTCGGGTGGGGGGAAAGAAAGGCAGTCGTTCCACAGGGCTTCTGTCTGTTCCAGGTGCTGCGTTTCCTCCGTCTCTTCGGCCCTGGGAAGAACATCCCGTCCGTTTGGCGCAGCGCCCGCAGGAAGCGCAAGAAGAAGCACCGGGAGCTGGCGCAGGAAGTGCAGATCCAGGAGGGCGAAGTTGGAGTGGAGAGCGGAACGGAAGGCAAATCTCCCTGGGAATATGAGTTTGCTGCCCCCCCCCCTCCTGAGCAGTGCCTGTCAGATGATGAGGTGGGATATCTGAGGCTTAGGCAGGCTTACCAGCTGGCACTGGGAGTAGAGGTGGATTGGACAGCAGCTTCTAGAGTAAAGAGCTTGTCCTCTGGAATCAAGCTGGATGACAGCGTTGGCTTGCATTCCAGTAATGCAGAAGCAACGTGTTCAAGGGAGGGCAACAAAGCTGGTGAGGGGTCTGGAACACAGGCCATATGAGGAGAGGCTGAAGGAGCTGGGGTTGTTCAGCCCGGAGAAGAGGAGGCTCAGGGGAGACCTCATTGCTCTCTATAACTTCCTGAAGGGAGGCTGCAGTGAGCTGGGGGTCGGCCTCTTCTCTCGTGTCATCAGGGATAGGACCAGAGGGAATGGCTTCAAGCTACGGCAGGGGAGATTCAGGCTGGACATGAGGAAGTATTACTTTTCAGAAAGGGTGGTCAGGCACTGGAATGGATGCCCAGGGAGGTGGTGGAGTCACCGAGCCTGGGGGTGTTCAAGGAAAGACTGGATGTTGTGTTGAGGGACATGGTTTAGTGGGAGCTATTAGGAATAGGTGAACGGTTGGACTGGGTGATCTTTGAGGTCTTTTCCAACCTTGGTGATTCTATGATTCTATGATTCTAAGCTCCTCTCCAGTTACTAGTGTGAGTTCAGTGATTGCTTCTTACTGAGAAGGCTGCGTCCATGGTGCAGGATGAATAGGAGAGCTTATCCTCTTTGTATCAAGAAGAAATCTGTGTTCTTGGATGTCTAATGGCAGAACATTTTAAGGCAGCTAGTGTGTATGGAAAAGCATTTCTTAGATACGCTTTTGTCCTCTGAGGATGAGCTGGGCAGCATGGAAGGATAAACCTGTTACTGATACGTAGATCATTGCTATAACCATTCCCTAATTTGCTGTGCTTTAGATTACTATGATGGCACCTGTGGAATCAAAATTTTCTCAGTCAGCTGGTGATACAGACAAGGTGACAGATACAAAGCCTAAAGTGGCAGAGTGGCGCTACGGCCCAGCGCAGCTCTGGTATGACATGCTGGGAATCCCAGAAGATGGCAGTGGATTTGATTATGGTTTCAAGCTGAAAGAGAAGACAGAGCAGGAGGTTAAAGGACAGACAGATGAGAAGGTGAGAAGGTAACTGGGGTGTGTGTGGCTCTGGAGGATGGCTGGGCAGCATACAGTACGAGGCTTCTATTTTTTCTCCTTTAGCTTGACCGTATAAAGTCAATGTCAGTATTCAAAGAACTGTTCTTTCCTTCCAGGATGCAGAGTTGGTGGATGAGAAGGATGATCTGCTAGCTGATGAACACTTCCTTATGGTGACACAGCTCCAGTGGGAAGACGATGTTATATGGAATGGAGAAGATGTCAAACACAAAGGAACAAAAACGCAGCGGGCGAGTTTGGCAGGCTGGCTGCCGTCAAGCATGACTAGAAATGCCACTGCATACAATGCCCAACAAGGTAAGTAATGACCTGATATGAACTGTAATTGAGCTGACTGACTGCATGCTTTCCTCTCAAATGCAGCATGTAAGTCTTATTATGTTTCTTATATCTTGCCTTGCTTCTACAAGGAAAACCAAATGGGGAGCATCAACTTGTATCACACCTATCTTTGGTGGGTGCCAGCATCAATTCTGTGCTGTTCAGCTATTGGTACAAAATGCTGAGGATCTGGGAAGGGCCACTCTAGATAGCTTTTTATTACAATTTTCATCTTAGAAGAGCTGTACCTGGTCTGTCCAACCTGGACTGACTGTCGTTCCCATCAAAAGCTGCAGTTCATCCTGAGCACCATTAGTCCATTCACATGTGTTACATCTTGTACCTGCCATGAGTATAAACTTAAGTGGCAGACGTGATGTGGACATATGTGAGTTAGTCTGCCCTGTTGGAATGACAAGGGATCGGGGCGAGCACGCTCCGCAGAACAATTCCTTCATGTCTGCTTGGCCAGCATTTTCAAGCTTGAGATCAGCTGGGAAGCTGCTGGAGGCCAGACCAGCTGTTCTGTTAGTCTGTGCAGAGCCTTTCCCTTTTGTAAGGACCACGCAGAAATGCACTTTATGCACTGCTGTGTAACATGTGCAGATCTTGCCAAATGGAATTTTGAAAAGGCTGGAGAGTCCAGCAGTGAGCTGTGGGTGTCCTTTGTCTAAGTCAGTCCTACCCCCACTAATGACATCGTGTTTGTTATGGCGGGAGTAGATCCACCCTAATTCCAAATGGAAATCACTCTGTGTATCACTAAGTGCTGATTTAAGAGCAGGTACCTGCAATACCTCCCATACTCAAATTCAAGCTCATGTTACTTTTGTTTTCCTTTTTTCTAGGGTTGAACCGCAGTGGCTCTTTACTCAATCCACCCATTCCTCTAGCACAGAAACCAGGTGTAGCAGGAGTCCTAGGTATGGCAAAGGGCAAAGAAAAGCAAACCCCTGAGCAGCAAGGTAACAAGGATGTTAATTTTCCCCCTATGAATAGGTGCCAGTAACATATGCTTCTCCGTGTTCTTTGTAATAGTGGGGTCCTCTTTTGGTGACAAGGTGTAGATGAAAGTGTGACGTTTGCTTTAAAACCTGTGAAAACCCCACTGTTTCATTCTTAGAGGTTCTCTGTGTTTCAGAGGAGCAAAACCTCTTTAATTGGCTGCTTCCTCTTTGCTTCCAAGTTCAGTTTTGTTTTGCCTTTGAGAGTTCCTGTCTCAGAATAGCGAGGAAGACTGGGAAAGTTGAGTAAAGATGATGTGAAGGATGAGCTCTAAAATGGATTTCTGCCAAGCTTGCATATAAAAATTTCTGTCTTATGGTGGTTGCAGTTTCCCTGGATGAAGACAAGCCGTGGTACTCCATTTTCCCAATTGATAATGAAGAGTTAGTGTATGGCCGGTGGGAAGACAATATCATCTGGGATGATCAGGCAATGGAGACCTACTTGGATCCCCCTGTCTTGACACTTGATCCAAATGATGAAAACATCATTCTAGGTATGTGGCATCCAGAAATTTGACCCAAATGGGAAGATGCAAGTGGAAATAGAAGCAAGAATTCATAATTGCAGTGTAATGGAAATAAATGATGTGGGTCAATCCTTATGGCCTTTCCTTGTACTGACTTTTGAAAATAATTTGTGAGTGATCAAAAGCCTAATTGAGAGGCAGCAACACTGATAGCAGTGTGGCAAGCACTTTCTGCTCCCAGGATAATTGCAGCAATGGGAGAGTAAACATGATGCCCTCAGACTTAATTTCAACACAAGTGATCTGACTCCTGGTGTGTTTTAGAACCCACTGTCTTAATTTTACTTGCAGGCATGTTGGTTTGAAGAGGGAGGGGAGGGAAGTAAACCACAGACTAGCCCGTGCCATTCTCTGTATGGGTTGTAATTAAAGCCTGAAGAAGCAGAATCCTAAGCCTCTGTCAGGCTGCAGTAATGGCACGTGGGAGCAAGGATTCTGCATAATACCTGAGAGCATTTTCAGTACTACTGCACACTTACTCCAGTGCTCCTGGAGTTTGATTTGAATGTATGCAGTGCTTATACTGCTACGAGCTGGCAAGATTTTTGTCTGATTTGGACTCCTGAAATCACAACTTTTTCTTAAATCTATGTGTTGGAATCTTCAGGCAGCCTTTTGTAAGTCTACATGGCTATAGTCTGGGTTGCATTTCCTTTCTTAGGTAAGTGGGGCAGTTACAAGAATTTCTCTATGTGTTAGTTGCAGTGTTTTGCTATTAGCCTGAAACCTTGACAGTCACTCATACTTTCAGCTTTGTTAAAGTACAAAACAACAGAAAAATTCCAAACTTGGTACTCCCCTGATCTTGATCCTCAACTCTTTAGAACAGCTTTGGCAGATGCTGTTTCTGGTTGTTAGTAAGCTGTGTTGCAATGGACACCCCACGTTTGTTGGATCCTCTGTGGATATATGCACCTCACACAAATTCACCTCAGAAACTGAACAAAAGGGTAAAAAAGACTCGACTGAGCTGCAGCTTTGCAGGAGGTTGTGATACTGAAAAGGGACACTAGGAGGAGAGCCTGCAGTGTGTTTACTTGTCTTTTTAGAAATTCCTGATGAAAAGGAAGAAATGACTTTGAATTCTCCATCCAAGGAAAACAAAAAAGAGTCTTCTCTAAAGAAGAGCCGAATACTGTTGGGAAAAACAGGTGTCATAAAGGAAGAGCCACAGCAGGTTGGCATAAGCTTTAATGTTCTGCAGGTTGGGAATGACCTGAAAGAAGTGACTGATTTATGTGTTTATTTGATACCTGTTTCCCTCTCTGTTTAACACTGATCAGAACATGTCCCAGCCCGAGGTGAAGGATCCCTGGAACCTCTCCAATGATGAGTTTTACTACCCTAAGCAGCAGGGACTTCGAGGAACCTTTGGAGGCAACATCATCCAGGTAGCCACAGCAGCACTGCATGTAGAGTGAGACGTGGATTGTCTTGGTGAACCTTGTAGCTGAAAATAAGATTGAGAAGCACTTTTTGTCAAAGAGTAGCATGTACAATGATGAGTTTGAATGCACTGGTATTACTACCAGCAGGCCTAAAATTACTACTAGGCTCTCTTATGTAAGGATCAGCTGAACTGGAGGATGATTTTGAGATGCTGTGTGTCATTCTTTCTTAATATCTACTTTGTCCCTGTGTTAGCACTCTATTCCAGCAGTGGAACTTCGCCAGCCATTCTTTCCCACCCATATGGGTCCTATGAAGCTCCGGCAGTTTCATCGCCCTCCCCTGAAGAAATACTCTTTTGGTGCCCTGTCCCAGCCAGGGCCGCATGCTGTGCAACCCCTACTGAAGCACATAAAAAAGAAAGCTAAGGTACAGTTCTTCTCTGCATGTGATGTCTGCTGAGGCTCCATTTGCACGGCAGGTCTGTTTAATGTGCTGTTTTCCTGATGCTGTCCTTGGCACAGATGAGAGAGCAGGAGCGTCAGGCTTCTGGGGGCGGTGAGATGTTCTTCATGCGGACACCGCAGGACCTGACTGGCAAAGATGGAGATCTCATTCTTGCTGAATACAGCGAGGAAAATGCTCCTTTAATGATGCAGGTTGGCATGGCAACGAAGATTAAAAATTACTACAAAAGGGTGAGTGTGTAAGTTTTGCTGTGGGGCAGTGATTTTCTTCTGCCTCTTGCTGAGTGCTAATTGTACTTTGACTGCACGTTGCAGAAACCTGGCAAAGATCCTGGAGCTCCAGACTGTAAATATGGAGAGACTGTTTATTGTCACACTTCTCCATTCCTGGGTTCTCTGCATCCAGGCCAGCTACTGCAGGTGAGAAGAACAGGGGTGCCAGATTCCGTTTAACTTTCTGTTTAAGCCTCTGTGTTTACAGATAATAGTGCAGTTGTTGGCCTTTATTTTTATTTGTATTTAATATCTCTCTGTTGTGTGGTTTTCAAAATTTTGTAGGAGTTGCAGGAGGTGAATCTTTCCTCCTCTGCTCTGTAACGACATTACAAGTACTGCTATTAGAGAAGTCTAAATAGAAGGCCAAAACTGCTTGAATGCTGGGAAGTTCAGTTAAGCCAAAGTTGGAGGGGAACAGAAAACAAGGATTTATAATGGTGTGTGAGCAAAAACATGTTCTTTCTGAGAGTTGCACTGTTAATTGTCTGCTGGGTGTCACTTGGACACTAGACAGATGAGAATTCTGCTATGATGAGCCTTTCTGTGTTGTTAAAATACGTGCAGTTGAGGTGAGGAGACAAATTAAGAGTGTTGTAAGGAACAACTGGTTACAGCAACCATGGTAAATGTGAAAATCAGTTCAGATTATGGCTAGTTGCCGTTGGTGCAGCAATAATTCTGTCCACGACTGTACCACAGGAAGTAAGAATATGAAGTGCTGTAGTAGAGAATAATCACAGAACTACTAATGCTAGTTGTTCAAGACAAAGAGGACTTTATCATGGGTAAACCAGGACTTCTGGTAGCTCAGTCCAGTGCCTTGTTGCTCATTTAAGCTCTCTTACCTTCAAAGGCTGAACTCTGCTCCACTCTACTTTTCTGGTTAGGTTCTTCCAGCCTTGTTTTCTGAGCAAAGCCTTCAGACTTTACTTCTATTGCCTTCTATTCCCAGGTTGTGAGGGTGTTATGGGCTCTCTTCTATGGTTATAGCATTCTTCTGTGTATCTGTCCTTCTTGTTCTTTCTTTAAAGTGCCTCCTGAAAGGTAAATCCAAAGAGTCCTTCAATCCCTTCCTGCATTTGTTCTAAGTTTTGTTATGCTTTGTGCTTCATCCTTGGTTATTCTCTTAACAAGCAAGGAACATTGTGACTGCCTGCGCTGTTACAGCGATGGTGTGCAGTTGGCATGATTGGGCACTTTGGTTTGTTTTGAGACATTTTTCACAGATTGTGTTGGAGAAAATGCGACCAAAACCTAACACTCAAACCTGGATTTGTTTCCCTCGTTAGGCATTTGAAAACAACCTTTTCCGGGCTCCTATCTATTTACATAAGATGCCTGAGACAGATTTCCTGATTATCCGGACGCGACAAGGCTATTATGTCCGAGAATTGGTGGACATTTTTGTAGTTGGCCAGGAGTGCCCGCTTTATGAAGTACCTGGTCCAAACTCCAAACGAGCTAACACCCATATCAGAGATTTTCTGCAGGTATGTGATAAAGGAGCTCGGGGGATCCGAGGGGTCTTTGGAGGAAGTAACGTTCTGTTCAAAGCAAGGATGTTCCCAATGTGATAAGATAGAAAATTTCAAGGCGTGTTTTTCCCACGTTGTTCTCAAAAGTGGCTGCACTTGAAGCAGACGCGGGGCTTAAAAAACCTTACCAGGTAAACTTCACAAGAAACAATGAGGTTTTTGCTTGCCCTGTCTGCAGCGTTGTTGTGTTCTTTCTTTGGGCTTCTGTAGGTTTTCATTTACCGCCTCTTCTGGAAAAGCAGAGACCGTCCTCGGAGGATTCGCATGGAGGACATCAAGAAGGCCTTTCCCTCACACTCAGAGAGCAGCATCCGGAAGAGGCTGAAGCTCTGTGCTGATTTCAAACGTACAGGTACTTCCGAGTTGCCCTGCTTGCATACCGGCATTGCAGAGGGATACCAAGCCTTGAAATACAGTGACAACTGTTGGCATCTGATATTTGCGGGACGCTGCTATGTATTTGATCTGTGTGTTTTTCAGGGATGGACTCCAACTGGTGGGTTTTAAAGCCGGATTTCAGATTGCCAACAGAGGAAGAGATCAGAGCAATGGTATCCCCAGAGCAGTGCTGTGCTTACTACAGCATGATTGCAGCTGAGCAGCGGCTGAAGGTAAACGTTCCTTGCTGGCTTTAAGGCAAGTTACTGACAAATAGTTTTGTGGAGGATGAGTTTAGGAAACACCTTCAGCCTAAAGCTAACTGTAGTAGGCAAATTGGTCCCCTGACAACTGGGCAACTTGCTAAATATTCTGCAGTGCAAGAAGGCGGAGAAGAATATAATAGCTCTCAAAGAACTTATGCCTGGTATTTAGATGTTGAGCTAGCTATGGTCAAAGGCAGCAAAGGGAGGCTGTAAGCAAATGTTTTTATTTCTGGCTGGGCCTCTACAGCGTAAAGTAAGCAGTCTGTGACAGGGCTGGACTGTAAGGGGGAAAAATAGCATGTATAATGTTTTTCTGCAGGATGCAGGTTATGGGGAGAAATCCTTCTTTGCACCAGAAGAAGAGAATGAAGAGGATTTCCAAATGAAGATTGATGATGAGGTACTTGTCAGGGTGATATAAGGAAGGGGTGCCGTCCGGAAGGACCTGGACTGGCTTGAAAAATGGGCCCATGTGAACCTGTGAGGTTTAACAAGGCTGAGTGCAAGGGGTTGAAGTTGGGTTGGGTCAATCCCAGATATAAGTACAGTCTGGATTAAGAGAACAGCCCTGCTGAGAAGGGCTTGAGAGTTTGGGTGGATGAAAAGCTGCACATGAGCCAGCAGTGTGCACTTGCAGCCTGGAAGGACAACTGTCTGCTGTGCTGCATCGGAAAGGGGCAGCCAGCAGGGCGAGGGAAGTTATTGTCCCCTCTGCTCTGCCTTGTGAGGCCCCATCTGGAGTACTGCATCCAGGTCTGGCACTACCAATGTGAGAAAGATGTGGAGCTGTTGGAATGGCTCCTGGAGGAAGGCCTCAAAGATGATCACAGGGCTGGAGCAATTCACTAATGAAAGGAGGTTGAGAGAGCTGAGCTTATTCAGCTTGGAGAAGAGAAGGCTGCAGGGAGACCTCACGGCAAGGGGGTTGGAACTGGGTGATGTTTAAGTTCCCTTTCAACTCAAGCTGTTCTATGATTGGAAGAATTGAGAATTAAAAAGCTAGGAATTGTCTGTGGTGATAGTAGGATTGTTATGGCGTGTTTCTTTCCTTGCTGGCAGGTGCGCACGGCTCCATGGAACACCACACGAGCCTTCATTGCTGCCATGAAGGGCAAGTGTCTTCTGGAAGTGACTGGTGTAGCAGATCCTACTGGTTGTGGTGAAGGATTTTCTTATGTGAAGATTCCAAACAAACCAACTCAGCAAAAGGTACCATTCCCAAGGTTGAGTTGAACAAGAAGCAGTAAGTGAGAAGTTGTGCAAGAGAAAGGGAGTAAATATGGAGTGTTGGTTGGAGAAAACACTTGAAAATGGCCCTGGGAAAGATTTTTATGTGAAGTTGTTCATAGGGTGAAGCTGTTCATAGGCTGTATCTTTCTCTGAACAGGATGATAAGGAACCCCAGCCCGTGAAAAAGACAGTAACTGGGACAGATGCTGATCTTCGTCGACTTTCTCTCAAAAATGCCAAGCAGCTTCTGCGTAAATTTGGAGTGCCTGAGGAGGAGGTGAGCCCGAACCTGTAGCAGATAAATACAAAGTTGTCTTCGTTGATGGCTTCAGCAGCAGATGGTGGAAGGGGTGTACACTGCTGTGGCCGTGTGGTAAGAACGTTGAAATCCACAGTCAGCTACATTGGTTGCCTGTCTCTAAAGCCATTTCTGCTCTGTCTTCCCCTTCTCAGATCAAAAAGCTGTCCCGGTGGGAGGTAATTGATGTGGTACGCACGATGTCTACAGAGCAGGCTCGTTCAGGAGAAGGTCCTATGAGCAAATTTGCACGTGGCTCTCGGTTTTCTGTAGCAGAACATCAAGAGAGATACAAAGAGGAGTGTCAGCGCATTTTTGATTTGCAAAATAAGTGAGTTCTTATCTGATGTTTACAGCTTGAACCCCACCCCGTCCCCACCTTGAAAGTCCAGAGCTATGAATGCCTGGGGCTTTCTGATATGTAGTGGTGTAGCTGTTGATTTGTCTGCTTGGGCCCACAAAATACAAAGGGGGCTTTGGTTGTTACTGTTAGCTTAAGGGTTGGCTTTGGTGTTTTGCTGTCACACACCTCTTGGAAAGGTGGAATGAATCGCATGGCTTGCCACATGAAATAGTGAGAGGGGTTTCACAGATCAGTTCACAGCCAATTTCCTTTGCTTTCTTTTTTTTTTTTTTTTCCCCCCTCTCTCTTTTCTTTTGCTGTAACTCAACTGAGTGGCAACTAACAATTCTATGTCCTGTTCTTTAGGACTGCCAGACTTTTCGTGCGTTATTTCTTGTGGCTCAAGAGCTGATAGGAGGGAGGGAGCATAGTAGTGTTGATGATAGAGGAATTGAGTTGATGGAGAAGACAGGCTTGAAACAGTTGACAATTTGGGCGTTTAGATTACAGGAAGACTGAGATGGGAACACATCAGGCTTATTAGAGATTTGCAACATTAACTTTAAAACCTCTGTGTCATTTTTACTTTCGTGTTTCTGAGAAGGTAACTGACATTCAAGGTGCCTCCTGTTTCAGGGTTCTGGAATCCACTGAGATCCTGTCAACAGACACAGACAGCAGTTCAGCTGAAGACAGTGACTTTGAAGAGATGGGAAAGAACATTGAGAATATGTTACAGAATAAGAAAACTAGTTCTCAGCTCTCTCGGGAGAGAGAAGAGCAGGAACGAAAGGAGTTGCAAAGGATGCTTTTGGGAGAAGACAGTGGGAATGACAAAGACAGGGGCAAAAAGGACAGGAGAGACAAAAAGGGGCTGTGTAAGTAACTGCAACAACCAGCATGCGACTAGTCCTGCCTTTCAGAGTGTGAAAGTATTGACACACATCTAGGGCTTTTTCCTTCTGAGCATTCACTGGCTGAATATACATTTACAGTGTTGCCTTTGCCCAGTAGCTTTGGTTGTTTCTTCCTTCCCTCCTCACTTTTTTTTTTTTGAGTTATTTTTTTCAAGATGAGTTCATAAGTAGAAGGGTTTGCTTGCACCCAGTTTGTGGTCCTCTCATTGGATTTTGTGTGTGTTTACAGCTATGTCTGTGAAACAGATGCAGCCAGTATGTAGGCAGATCTCAGCCTGTTACACTTATGGGCTGTGTGTAATTACAGTGTGTAATTTGTTAATTGGAGGCAAATGGGATAATCAGTTGCCAGGCTTGGGTTTCTTGTAGACCTGAGTATCGAAGTGCATTCTGACAGCCAACCTGCCGTTCTGGAGCTGGCAGGGAAAAGGTGATTTCTTTCACATCAAACAAAACCCTCCTTTGTAACATCAGCTTCAGGAGCCTCTGCAAACTCCCACAAAGATGACGACACTGCCTCAGTAACCAGCCTTAATTCCTCTGCCACCGGCCGCCGCCTCAAGATCTATCGCACGTTTAGAGATGAGGATGGCAAGGAATATGTGAGGTGTGAGACGGTCCGGAAGCCCTCCGTCATCGATGCCTACTGCCGCATAAGGACGACCAAAGACGAAGAGTTCATGTGAGACCAATCAGGTTCTTTTTAGTCCTTGCCTGTAGGCTATTTCATACTCTTGTGAGTAGGGGTTATCCCGTGGATAGTTTGCACTTATGAAAAAGAGAATCAATTTTAGTTAAATTGGAAATGCCAGCTTTACTGCTGTTAAAGGAAGGACCTGATGGCTGTTTCAAAGGAGACTTTCCTTTAGTAGGGTTGAATTTCAAATGCTCCAAAGAGCTTGGGATATTGGAACAGGGAGTAAAATCCTGATGAAGTTCAAGCAGTTCTCTGCTGGCTATAGAAGTTTGGAAAGCTGCATGAAACCATTCTGCCCCTTTTCTAGTTTGTTTTTATAGCACCTCTCTGACTTCTCTGCATAGCAGACCCTTTTCCTTGGCTCCCATCAAAAAGCTCCCAATGAGCCAATGTATCACCAGTCTTTTTTTCTGCACTTTCAATACATGAAGTTCAAAATGCTGTGTGGAGTGGCACTGGGCATTCTATTTCTTTGGCATCTAAAGTCATGCAGTTTTGGTTAAACTGCTTATGGCTTTGGTCCCCCAACCCATGAAATGGTGCCGTTTTCTTTGTGAAGCGTTTGGAAATGGTGCTTGTGAAAGTTGCACCAAGAAGGCAATGATTTGAAACAAGTGAGTGCAGAAGCCTGACACTGTAATTGTTCAGAGAAATGGTGGTTTCATAGCTGTGCATTCAGAGCATGTTAGGAGTTCTGTCCATTGTTTGATTCTGAGGGAAAGAAATAGCATTTGGTCATACAGTTATTCTGTGTGATATGATGTGTAAAGGGATTGAGTAAAGATTGAACAAACAAAACGAACAGCTTATTTCATAACCTTAATGTTACTTATAGTACGTTTATGCTGGAAGACTGTGAGTTGAACTGGAGTTCTAAAATAACCTTAATCATATTGGAAGCTAAAGAACTTAGCCTTACACGCTCTGACTTCTCCAGTTTTGTGGTGAAGGTTCAAATCCCAGGGCTGCATGTGGCTCTGGGCAGCCTGGCCTGGCGGTTGGCAGCCCTGCAATAGCAGGGAGGGGGTTGAAACCGGATGATCATTGTGGTCCTTTTCAACCCAGGCCTAGGATTCTATGATATGATTCTATGGAAGCTGTAATGACAGAAGGGCAGTGGGAAAATTTTGATGCGTGTTTTTTCTCTTTTTCTCCTCCTTCAGTCGCAAATTTGCTCTGTTTGACGAGCAGCACCGCGAGGAGATGAGGAAGGAGCGGCGCAGGATCCAAGAACAACTACGGCGATTGAAACGGAACCAAGAGAAAGAGAAACTCAAGGGCCCTCCAGAAAAGAAGCCCAAGAAATTGAAAGAACGTCCAGATCTGAAAGTGAGCATATCTGCGTTCTAAGCAGGCTTAACAAACCTTGGGCGTTGGAGAAGTGTTCTGTTCTGTGATGTACAAAAGGTCTGACCAAGGGATTTTAATGATCCTCTGCCTCTAGGCTGGGACTCCACGTGTGAATTCTGATCTGCCACCTTTCTTATGTCTTTGTAGCTAAAATGTGGAGCGTGTGGTGCAATTGGCCATATGAGGACTAATAAGTTCTGCCCTCTTTACTACCAAACAAACGCCCCGCCTTCTAATCCTGTTGCAATGACAGAAGAGCAGGAGGAAGAACTGGAAAAAACAGTCATTCATAATGATAACGAAGAACTCATCAAAGTAGAAGGAACAAAAATTGTCCTTGGAAAGCAACTGATAGAGAGGTAAGGGAAGGAGTTGAATATTCACATGCGTACCAAACGCAGCAATGAAGGGCTTTACACAGGCTATTACTACTTGCATTTTCATTGTGTCTGTCACTGACCATGGCCAATCCTAAGGGACAGATGGGCTCGGATCACAAGAGGGATCACAAAAGAAAGTTTTATGCTGTTTTTTGTTTTGTTTTTTTTTAAACTAGCGCGGATGAGGTTCGCAGGAAATCGCTGGTCCTGAAGTTTCCTAAGCAGCAGCTCCCTCCAAAGAAGAAGAGGCGAGTGGGGACAACTGTTCACTGTGACTACCTGAATGTGAGTGAAGGCACTGCTGAGCTGGTGGCAGTGTCTGGTTGTTTGTTCCTTGACCTCTGCACATCCTCAGCGTGCACCACAGACACCTATCCAGAACATTCGTAAACTGACTTGCCTATGGCTTCTGTAGGTTAAGACTTTGCATTTTAGAGCTGCCTTAACTTCTCTGCCTCTGTTTTCTGAAGCGTCCTCATAAGTCCATCCACCGACGTCGAACTGATCCCATGGTGACGCTGTCGTCCATCCTGGAGGGCATCATCAATGATATGAGGGATCTTCCTAATGTAAGTCTAAGCTCACACACCAAAAACCCTCTTGAGCAACACAGTTAAAATGGATTGTACACCAGAGTTATGCAAGCCTTTCCTCAGATGAATATACCACCTCTCCCCCTGTGCTGTCTGTGCTGCCTATGGGGAGTCCAAACCAGCACTCCTTGTTTTCATTCCTATTTTCTGTGTTATTGTGTTGCAAGTTTTGGGAAAACTGTTATCAGCGTAGATGGTCTGGGTTGTTTACTTTATAAGCCTTTTGAGCTTTGGGAAGAGTGTTGTGGTGTTCTAGCACGGAAGGAATCATTTATTTGCTTTACTTTCCTGTGTCAGTTGGAGAGATCTGGGAAATATCTTTTCCTCAGGACTTTTCACATTATTCAAATCCCTGGCTGTTGTGCCGCATGCTGATTTATCCTGCTAGGAAGGCAGTTGATAGAAGAGTCGAAGGAACTTTAGTTCTGCATAAACAAAAATTTTGTTTGAGAATCCTTCTTGTATCAAAGAACATTTTGTGGAAGAAGAAAATAGCCACCACGGAGCTGAGCTCATCGTGTTTTCCTTGGTGCAATTAAAGAGCTGGGTGCTTAAAAACTTTCTACTTCGGTGCTTATGGAGATTAAATTGAGATTGACTGTACTGCTGCTGTGTGAATAAGCATTCCTTTTTCTCTTCTTGCCATCAGACATACCCCTTTCACACGCCAGTCAATCCAAAGGTTGTCAAAGATTACTATAAGATTATTACTCGGCCCATGGATTTGCAGACCTTGCGTGAAAATGTTCGTAAGCGGCAATATCCATCCCGGGAGGAGTTCAGAGAACACCTGGAGCTAATTGTGAAGAACAGTGCAACGTACAATGGTAAGCTGTTACATATATAGCTGTTACAGTGCAGGGAAGCTCTGTTGTTGCTGCTGCTTTGTGCTTGTGTGAGAAGCGGATCTTTCAGAAATGATCTGAACTTCTTTTCTCGTTGACGCGCTGTAGCAGAGCAAACGTTGAATCTTACAAGTAAGATCTGACAGATCCATCAAATAGGAATCATTCACACCTTTTGGAGCTATTGCCTTAGGGAATGTGGCTCCTGACAGAGTTGACTGTAATGATTTTACGCTTTTTGCTTCTTACTTGCAATAATTCTTTTCCTATTTGGAAAGATGAGAAAGCTTTAAAAAAAAATAACGAGCAAAGATTCTGAAGCAGATAATGCAGCTGGTAGGAAAAAGTGTTGATTCACTGAGCAACTGGGAGTCAACTGTATTCTGACTGCTGACAGAAAAATCTTTGTCCAGAAAGTACTCGTTTGGCAGCTAAATATTTTCCAGCTGCATTGAATCTCTCTGAGCCATGCAGCAGTTGGGGTGATACAGGTATAAAGGAAGCCTTTGCTGCTTCCTTTATTATTTTGACAGCCAATTCCTTGTTTAATCCTAATTAAAGAGACAGTTTTTTTCATCATTCTGTTGCAATTTCTTTTGTGTGTAGTGAAATTATTTAGAGCAGTGATGTTGTTTTTCAGAGTGTTCCTTAAATGTCCATCTTGACTTCTTCAATGATTCTGTTTTACTGACTGGATTTAATGAAACAGGCATTTTCAGGCTTAAACTCTGAAATTCGGAAGAGTTGGAAGGCTTAGCCAGTGTTTCACAGATACAGCTGCTTTCCCATAGGACTTCTTAACAATTTGCAAAATGTGTGGTAGAAATGTGAATATTTGCTGCAAATAATCTTCTCTCTCTTAAAATCCATACAGAACTTTAGTTATCATGTGTGTTAAGGATGTACTTGAGAACAGGCTCCCAGCTGTAGTAGAAATGTAGTGATGCTTAGGAGTAAAGATTAATTCATACTGTTATGAAAATGCTCTTTTTAATTCTTTGCAATATCACATCAGGATGTGTTCACTGATTCTTGCTGAGTTCTAAAAGCTTCCATCAGAGCCAGAGTTATCTCACTGTTCTTGCTGTGTGTTTGCAGGGCCAAAGCACTCACTGACTCAGATATCTCAGTCCATGCTGGATCTGTGTGATGAAAAGCTGAAGGAGGCAAGTCTTGTGAATGAGTTGGGGTCAGAGTGGAGAGGGAGGGGTGGTTGGGAGTGCTTGAGGATAGAGGCCATGGCTAGGCAAAACACAGGGCTTCGATGAGGAGAGAAGAGTAAGGGAACTTCCTGAGTTTTCTGTAAGGTGTATTTGAATTTTTGCAGCTTTCACAGTGGATGTGGAATCTCTCAAAAAACTGATGCTCATTCATTACTTCATTACTTTACCTTGTGAAGGCTTATATTCAGGTTATTTTCCTCTCTTAATTGGAAGATTCTTCATAAAAATGGAATTTATCAGGTACAGAGCATCTGATACTAACAGTTATCAGTTTGGGGTCAACCACTGAGTTTCCTCACTTTTGTTGCAGAAAGAAGATAAACTGGCTCGATTAGAGAAAGCAATCAACCCCCTCCTGGACGATGACGACCAAGTGGCCTTTTCCTTCATTTTGGATAACATTGTCACTCAGAAGATGATGGCAGTTCCAGATGTACGTAGTGTGTATATGCATGGGCACCATGTGCAAAACGTGCTGATTGTGGTGCAGTGGCTGCATATCACAGGGTAATACATGTCCTGTGGCTGTAAAGCTCTGTGAAAAAAACAGAGCAGTGTCAGGGTGCTGGCCTGTGTTTCTCTGATTGGCAGACACTTCTGTAGTGACCCCTTTCACTGGAGCATTGGTCCAGAAGTGAAGACACTGCGCCTGTCCTTTTTCTGCTGCTCTTAATCCTTAATGATGTCAATGTCTTCCTCTCCTTAGTAGAGAAACATTGGTCTTCATTAAGGATTTTCATTGTAAAACATAGTTTTCTCCTACTGATTTTAGTGCTTGCTTTTGGAGATCTCAAAGATGCTGTTTACAGGTGCAAACCAAAGTCAGTCTCATTGTACTAAAACCCTTAACCTTAACCAATGAAATGGACTATCTGTGTCTGAAGGAGTAAGAAACAGAAGCATGTAGTGGTTAGATGACCGATTCCCTTTAAAACTTTGTTGATCCCATTATTATTATTATTATTATTAACCTATTTATTGTGTTTGGAAAAAGATCTTAGAGTGTTTCTATGCCTTCACACCACACAGAGCTGTAAAATCAGTGTGTTATAGTAGCCCCACTGTGAGATTAGACCTAAGTTTACTGTACTAGTAATGATTGTTCTTGCTGGGCACTGCAGTTGCATCTGTTTTCTTTCTTTCAGTCTTGGCCATTTCATCATCCAGTCAACAAAAAGTTTGTTCCTGATTATTACAAGGTCATTGCTAATCCAATGGATCTAGAGACCATCTGCAAGGTGTGTAGCTTGATGTGAACAGCCACTTGAGGAGCGTTCAGGCTCGGTTACCTAATGGGTTACAATCTGTTGCAGAATATCTCCAAACACAAATACCAGAACAGGGAGACTTTCCTGGATGATGTTAACCTCGTCCTTGCTAACAGCATTAAGTACAACGGTAGGTGAAAATAAAGCTTCAGTCTTCTGTCCTTAAATGAAAACATCTGGGCCCCTGTTCTGCTGTGCTGTCAAAGCCTGAAGCTGTGAAAAGTGAACCTGATCGTTGCTTTCCTTTCTTGCTGAGAAAGGAGATGCTTAAACAGTGACATTTGCACCATCACATGGTGCCTTATTTACTATTTGGAACGCTACACACCCCTGTTCTAGTGAATTGTTTCTGGGAGTTTGACAGGATACAACCTTTTATCTCCCAAATAATGATGCTGGAATAAACTGGTTGCTCATTGTTAGCTGAGCATGAACCCCACTTTGTTTCTCCTTAGATGAGAAAGTGAGGGGGCAGTGGGATTTAGGGACCTGTCTCATGAGAGCTCAGTAACCAAATCCAGTCTTTCTGTCTCAGCAGCTGACAGTGAACAAATGTCAGAATGCATAAAGAGATTTGCTTATTACTACAGGGCCAGACAGTCAGTACACAAAAACAGCCCAGGAGATCGTAAACATCTGCTATCAAACTTTAGCTGAGGTATGTAAACAAGGCTATTGCAATATTTTGTGTTTTGAGTTTTCTGTTCTGTAACCTTAGCAAGCTTCTTTGTTCTCAGTACGACGAGCACCTGACCCAACTGGAGAGAGACATCTCTACTGCTAAGGAAGCAGCACTGGAGGAGGCAGATCTGGAAAGTCTTGATCCTATGACCCCGGGTCCCTACACTCCACAGGTAAGTGTCCAAGCAAGGTTTGCAGTGTTTGTAAGTTTCAGTCTTCTGAATGTTTCTATCTAGAGGTGCCTCCTGCTTACTGTTCTCAATCTGTCTTCAGTTTATCTTTTAGTAGGCTGTCTTGTTAGTTGTGCTTACAGCTGTTTTTAAGGATAAATGTTAGAAGCAGTTACACTGCTTTAGAGGAAGAGGCACCTGAGACAAAGAAGACAATTTACCCAGCAACTTGCAAAAATGGTTTTAAAGTGAGCTATGTATAGTCAGGTACAACTGAGTGTCGATTGCAAATTCAAAACCTGTAAATGGAGCAGCTAGAAACCCTAAGGCAAGCAGTGAAAAGGTAAGGAGAACACAAGGAAAGACATCAGTACTGTAGCTGGAGAAGAAGCCAGAAGAGCTGTTTTGTGAGGCTGTTGTTGAAGAGACTGTGAGCAAAGAATGCCTGCTGTGGTCAGCAGACTGTACTTTCTGCATTCTTTGAGATTCTTTTCATTTTTCTGCTTTGCTTCTGATGGAAATAACACTTTTGACTCCTCATTACTGTTGGATTAGCAAACAGCGGTGTGTGTGTGTGTGTCAGTTATTCTGTACAGACCCAGAGTGAATGATCAGAATCTAAATGTTGCTCGGTGTGGGAAGACAGAGCAAAGCTTTCTTTGCAGTTGTTCTTCCCAACTGCAGATGACTAATTTTTCTATTCTGTGCATGTCTGTGTGATTTCATTTGGAAAGTTGTATTTAGCTTTAGTGAAATCAGAGCAGAAAAGGGGGGCCTTGATGATCAAGAACAATTTCCTTATCTATTATTTTTAAAAAGAAAAACAAGTTTAAAATTTGTTTGGGCAATGCATACATAAAGATTACAGGGCTGGAGCCAGGATAGCAGTCTACAAACATTTTGGAGGGGAGTATTTAACATACCTTATCATTTCAAACACGATTAGATGGAATCTAATCCCAATACTTCAGAGAAAGAAAGGCAAAAATACCATTCTTTTCCCACCTGATGGTTTCAGGTTATCTGAAATAGTGTTATCTATTCTGATTATTTTTCTTCCAAATCGATGGAGGAAATGAGACCTGAGCAGTGAAAATTGCTTATTAGTTGCCTGCTCTTTGTCTCTGGTTGCTGAAGGAAGCTCCTCCCTTGACCTTGTCATCTGATGGCCATCCTTTCCCTGTGCTTCTTGGCTGAAGGTGCATTCCCACTTCCCACGCTCCCAAACTTGTCACAGATGGCAGATCTGCTGGCGGTTGCTTGGCTTTAGTTCAGATGTAGTCATGGTGACTCATATTTATCTCCCCATATGTGTCTTCAGGAATTGGACTCCAGGATGTTAAAAGCAAATGCAGCAAGTAGAGAGCTGTCTATATGTTACATGTCTGTTTAAATTCTTTGGAAGCCTGTTTTGCCTAATTTAGGTGGTATTGCTTCTCCTCCGAACACTTTTAGACACATCATGATATTAAAACTGTGTTACAAGGATGTTTCATCAAAATCCTAATCTAGTAATTGCTCATTAGCTCCTTAAAAGCTAATTAAATACAAACTAGACCTTTTAGAGCACCTTATCCAAACCTCCATCTGTCTCTCTTGCGTTAGTTTTAGGGACTCTTGAGACAGTGATTGACATAGAATTGATTGAAAGCTGAAGCTTAACTGTTTCATCTATGATAAAGTCGTTTTCTTCCAATAGCAGTGTATGTGGTTGTACCACTCCCACTGTAGAAACATGAAAAAGGCCATACTAAGTAAAAAAAAAAGGATTGATGTAACCAAGTCTTCTGACTCTGGTGGGGACCAGTAAGGGGATGCCAACATGTGGTGATGCTTACACTGAAGCCTCAGGCAATCAGCAGCCCAGGCGCCTTCAGCCGGAGCTGCACGTGGACCACTGTCTTTATGAGCTGCAGAGGCCTGTTCTCTGTAGATCTGTCTAATCCTTTTAGAGTTTCCCTCTGCAGGATTGTGCTGTATAGAAGTTCTGCCTTCTGTTTTAAAATCTATTTTGCAAACCTCAAGCCTGAGATTGCGAGCAACTGTTTTACCACGTTCATTCTTTTAAGAATGAGTGATGAACCAGTGTTTAAGAACATAAACACTGTGACAAAGAAATGCATTTTGCATTTACTTCTGAAATCTCAGCCTCACCTAACAAAGATCAGCAGGTTTCCCAGGCAGAGAAGGGAACCCATTTCAAAAGCTATGCAATTCCCTTCAGTTTGACTGCTCCGATGGAAGAAGAGAAATGTGAAGAGCACTGGGAATTTCAACACTGCAAATCAAAGAGTAGAGAATCAAAAGCTGCAAAAGACTTTGCCTAAGGCCAGCTATTTGTTTGCTTCACTACTTCTGGGAGTAGAAACCTGGTGACTCAAGCTGCAGTCTGCTCACGTGCAATCCCTTGTAGGTTCTGAATAGGGAAATGGTGAAGTGCACTCTACAGTTTTGAAGGATGATAATTAACTTATTGTGCCTGCATTCAATGATGATTAGAAGCTAGGAAGACTTGGCTGCCACAGTGGATACACAGTAATTGTAAAAGAAAAAAAAATCCACAGAACCACTGACTCTTTAAAGCTATTAAATCATTATGGATGGTTACAGTAACCACGGATATTTTTCTTAAGTCTTTACTCTGTATTAAACAACAACAGCAAAAATAGAGGAGAGGAGCTAGCAGAAGGAGATAAAGTAATGGGAGCATGAAATTAAATACTCAGGAGGAGGAAGAAGGTGAGGAGGGCCACGAGATTGAAGCTAGTATCAGAAAGACGAGTGGGAGCTGTCCTTGAACAATGCAGACCAACAGGGGCTGAGTAGGAACAATTTCATTTATTGTTTTGGCTGTCTGTGGCTTTGGGAATGCCTTCTAGATATGTGCAAGTCTTCAGGTTTTCTGTAGGCTTCCAATGCATGGCCTTTGGGACAGAGTCTGCGTGTTCTCTCTGCTTTGTACTCGTGGTGACTGGGAGAAGAATGGGGCAGGAGGGCAGGAGAAGGCTTGATGGAAACTGTGTCTGCTTTGAAAGCATCCTGTGAAAATGTGCACTTTTTAAGGTCTAGCAGTGTTTTCCAGAAATATCTGGGTAAACAAAAGGTGAACAAAGAACTCTGGCACTCTTAAGGCTGGAGATTGCCTTTTGATAGATGAGCACATCCAAGCAGAGATACGTGGAGACTGTGTGCTCCCGGATCTCAGGGTAAAGATAAATGATCTTTGCTCTTGTTATTTTTAGGTTTTTTCTCCTCCCTCCTCTCATTTCCCATGTCATCTCCTTTCCACCATTGTGGTCTGGATGCCTGTCATGCCTTTGGCTCGCATCCAGTAGTGCCTTCCTCAGTGGTGCTGCTCTTTGTGTTCCCCATTCAGATGCGCCAGGGGCGAGGTAGGCTGGGCGAGGAAGACTCTGACGTAGATATTGAAGGGTTTGATGAGGATGATGATGGGAAACCTAAGACTCCGGCCCCAGTGAGTATATTTACAGAAACCCCAGCCACAATCTAAATGTTAACTTGCATCCTTGTGGTAGAAGTCTCCACTGTAAGGGTTGTCTGCTGTGTCTGCACCCTGAAGGATGGCAGTATTGATAACAAAGCTAGACACTTAAATGTAGTTTTAAATACTAGCATTGTGCAGTGAGAGAACAGTTCTGAGTGGACAGCGTTCTAAATTGCATCCGTGTGCTGGAAATGGCAGCGGTGCCTGCCTTGTTTGATCTCACCACCTCTATTCTGTGTGGCCTAGGAAGTTGAAGATGCAGATGGTGACCTTGCTGATGAAGAAGAAGGATCAACCCAGCAGCCCCAGGCCAGTGTCCTGTATGAAGATCTGCTCATGTCGGATGGAGAGGATGATGATGATGGGAGTGATGAAGAAGGCGATAATCCCTTCTCATGTATGATTCTCTTTTTATATAAAAAGGTTGAATAGAACTGATTGTTCACAAACACAGCTAATCTTCTTACATTTCCATCACAAAAAGATACTGTAGAGAGCAGAAAGCATAATTGGAACACGTAGGCCAAGTGCCCTGATAGTCACAAAGGAAGATGCTGAAGGGCAAGATGAAAAATAAATGACTGTAAATGGAACTTGAAGCTGAATAGGAGCATTATGAGTATGGACACAGAACGAAGCAGAGTTAATACAAATCTATTTGATTGTATTTCGTAAGGTAAGACTGCAAATGGTTCAGAAAAGGCTAGGACGATAATTTGTGGTGCAGGGTGGAACTGGGCAGAGTTCAGAGATAGCACAACATTTGTTTTATGAAGTAGTGTGGACACTGTTAATGAGTTCTGGAAAATGAGTCTGAAGGTTTTTTTCCCTGTTTCACTAAGGGAATTGCGGTGCATCGAAACATGTGGTAGTTTTTGGAGATAGCTTCTGAAACTTATGAAGGGGTAACGGTGGAAAGTTATTCAGAGTTGACAAATAAGGGCTTCTGAGTGGTAGTGGGGATTAGATTGTGAAGAACATCAGAAACGGGTATTTAGTCAGTGGTATGACCTCCCAGGTATCATTCCACATAACTACTTCGTATACATTACTTAAGTCAGTGTCATATCCTTTAAAGAGAGACACAGTGTATGTACCTGACAGAACAGAACAGTTGACTTATGATCCTTTGTTGGCCTGTTACACAGCTATCCAGCTCAGTGAGAGTGGAAGTGATTCAGACGTGGAGACCAATGCAGTGAGACCTAAACAGCCTCACGTTATTCAAGAGAACACACGAATGGGCATGGACAATGAAGAAAGCATGATGTCTTACGAGGGCGATGGTGGGGAGGCATCTCAGGTTATGGAGGACAGTAATATCAGGTAATTACAGCTGAGAATCTTGGTAAAATAATTATTTCCTCAAAACAAAATCTGTTCTCTTAAAGGTTTCTGAAGTGTTTTTTTGTAAAGAGCTGAAGGATAACTTGTGTGGTCTTTAAGTTACTCAGTCACTTGCTTTAGTGTTGCAGGCATAATTGCAGTAAACTTCTTGATAGGAAATTGGTTTTGCTTTCACACACTTAACTAATGAAAAAATGTTTTTCCTTGTAAGTTAAATTAATTTCCTTTGCACGGTGGTTTTTGAAGGCAAGGCAAATAAAACTTGTAACAGATTATCTCAGAAATTGAGATGCCTTTGAAGTTAAAGATGATTTGGCTGATTAACTTGCTATGTGGGTATTTTTTCCTGTAAGAATAAGCATTTCCTTCCTTGAAAGGAAGCTGACATACAAAAGAATAGGGATGGGCATTTTGGAAGGAGTTCCATTCTCAGAAAATGGCATAGAGGTGACAGTGTTAGCTTTATTTTGTGCATCAGCTCAAGAAAATGCTGACTGACTTCTCCTTGTCTGTCCATTCCGTAGAGTATTGCCATTAGATTCTCTGTTCTTTTTTCATTTCTGGAATTCAGTACCTCAGTGCTGCTACTGTCTGCCTAACAAAAGTTGTACAGGCAAGTTCTGTCCAACCAGAGGTGATCAAAACCTCCCTGTAAGAAAGGGGGGCTCTGCTGGGTGAGGTGCATGGTCAGTCCAGCCCAGTGCCTCAGCAACTGGCCGTGTAATGGGCCGTGCTCTGATGGTAGCTGTTGCACTGCCTGCCTCCCTGTCTGCAGTGAAGGTGACAGATAGAAGCAATCAGTTGCTTTTCCTGCCCTGAGTACATCAGGGTAGGGTGAGGATGCTGACAGTGGGTTCAGGAGAGCTGTTTTAATGTACACAGCTGACCACTGACAGAATAGAAATGCACAGTGGCTCGAGTTGTTCCTCGAGGACCTCGAGCCAAGGACCTTTTACAGGAGTTAAACAGAGAACTGTGTCAACAGATGTGACATAATCTAAGCATACTCTTGTGGTTTTTTTCTAGTTACGGCAGCTACGAAGAGCCAGACCCAAAGTCCAACACAAGGGATACGAGCTTCAGCAGCATCGGGGGCTACGAGATCTCCGAGGAAGAGGAAGAAGAAGAAGAACAGCGTTGTGGACCGAGCGTGTTAAGCCAGGTGCACCTGTCTGAGGATGAGGAAGACAGTGAGGATTTTCACTCCATTGCAGGAGACAGTGACCTGGACTCAGATGAGTAACTGCCTGAGCACTGCTCGTCCTGCAGTGACCGCAGCCTGAGCTGCTCTCCTGGGTTTCTGATGGCCCGCTTTGAACACCGTTGGTGCTGCATTAACGCTGTGTTAACAAGGAGCAGCCTTCTCATGTAATATTTTATATTATATGAATATTGTTTTAATCAGCTCTAAAACATGAGACTGAGGGAATGGTGCACAAGGAGGTGGGGCTGTGATGACCTTTATTGGTTCTGGAATCCCAGTGAAGACTGCCGTTTGTTCTTCATCTTAATAGATGTAAGATAATTTATTGGATTCATGTACATCCAGCCGTGGAAAAGGAAGGCTGCTTGGAATAAAACACCCTGCGCTTTGTTTGATAACTTATAAAGCATTTCTTTATCTCTTGGAGGTGTGGTTTGTGATGGGGAACACAGCTTCCTGCAGCGAGTAGCTGCCCCGTTTGTTAATTTTAAGTTGCAATTAGCCCCAGTCCTCCACCGCCTCTCCCCCAACCGTCACGCTGCACGTGCCGCGGAGGCGAACAGCGGCGCATGCGCAGTGCGACCGCGTTTGTCGCAATGGCTCCGCGCGGAGCGATCCCTCAGCTGACAGCGCTGCCGCTGCGGCGCCTGTGTGTGTGTGAGTGAGAGAGAGAGAGGGGAGGGGGGGCGCTCGGCGGAAGGAGACGGATGTAGTTCCGCCGTATCCCTCCGCCGCGCGGCGCCCCGCCGGCTGGCTCCGCCCGGACTATTTGTCGCGGGGAGCTAGGTCCGGCCGCAGCCATTCGGCTCTCCGCCGCCTCCGCCAGCGCCATTTCGGGAGCCGCCGCCGCCTCAGCGCGACGGGAACGCGGGCAGCTCGGTCCTTCTCCGCCGCCTCGGCCCAGCGCCCCGATGGCGACCTCCGTGGGGAACGTGGCTGACAGCACAGGTACAGCCGTCTCCCCTCAGGCGCAGCGCTCCGCGGGCGCCGCTCCCGGCCGAACTTTCCAGAAGCGGCCGCGTGGGGCCGGGCCGGGCCGTATGTGCGGGGCGTTGTGTTTATTGATCCATCGATAGATCGATCGATCCGGCGGCGGTGGGAGGCAGGGCGGAGAGCGGGCCCGAAATAAACGGCGGTGCTGGGGGGGAAGGGAGGGGGCGGAACGGAGCGTGAAGGGAAGGTGGGAGGGCGATAGGGCGGCCGGGATGCCCTGAGTAGGGAGAGCATTTCTCCCCTGCTCTGCTCTTGTGAGGCTCCATCTGCAGCACTGCGTCCAGGTCTGGAGCCCCCAGTACAGGAACGACAGGGAGCTGTTGGAGAGGGTCCAGAGGAGCCACAGAGGTGATCGGGGGGCTGCAGCACCTCCACTATGAAGACAGGCTGAGGGAGCTGGGCTTGTTCAGCATGGAGAAAAGAAAGCTGTGGGGTGACCTCAGTGCAGCCTGCAGTACCTAAAGGGAGCCTGCAAACAGGAGGGGAATCAACTCTTGGAAAGGGGAGATGACAGCAGGACAAGGGGAAATGGTTTGAAGTTGAGGAAGATTGAGGTTGAATGTCGGGGGAAGTTCTTTGCTATGAGAGTGGTGAGATGCTGGAACAGCTGCCCGGAGAGGCTGTGGATGCCCTGTCCATGGAGGGGCAGGTTGGATGGGGCCCTGGGCAGCCTGGGCTGGTGTGAAATGTGGAGGTTGGTGGCCCTGCGTGTGGCAGGGGGTTGGAGCTTCTGATCCTTGAGGTCCCTTCCAGCCCGGGCCATTCTGTGATGCAGGGCCGGAATGCAGTGCCGTGGGAGCCCCAAGGTCACCACCTTCAGCCTCCTGCTCAGCACTGTTCCCCGGCCTGCCCTGCTGCCAGCCCCATGGAGGCTTCAATTGGAGATAGATAGCAGGAAGGAATTCTTACCGTGAGGGTGGGGAGACAGTGGCATGGGTTGCCTAGCGAGGCTGTGGGTGCCCCCTGTATGGCAGCACTGAAGGCCAGGTTGGATGGATGGAGCTGTGAGCAACCTGGGCTAGAGGGAGGTGTCCCTGCTATAGCACTGAGGATGGAGCTCTGTGATCTTAAAGGTCCCTTCCAACCCGAACCATTCTGTGGTTCGTTATATTAGAAGTGTAGAACTCCATAGGACCAGATAGGAAGTGCTGAATGGATGGGGTTCGGTGCTCGCAATGCTGCCCTTCCTGTCCTGGGTTTCAGAAGGAAAAATAAGAGGTGCTTGCAGTACTCAGAGCTTTTAACAGCAGGACCGAGTGATGTAAAGACACAGCCTGAAGGGCTTCTTTCTAATGAGCAGTTGTGAATTTTTCCTAAGCTGCTCTGTCTGTTCTAATGCAAAACTGTACGGCAACGACTGAGCTTCTCACATGGGTTGTCTTTCCAATGGAGGAATCGTTTTGCGTGGCAGATAACACAGGCAGAGTGGAGGTTTAAAGGAATGCTGTGCATTAAGCCTTTTTCTTTAAGGGCTTTCACAAGATACGAATCTACCGACACAGCAGAACTTCCTTTGCTTCGAGTCCTTTGAAGTCTGTGTCTGTGGTCCTGCGTTTCCCCGTGAGGTTTTTAGAGCTTTTCAGTGCTAGGAAGTGTTACATTCCCGGCCTGGGGGGAGGGGTAAGGAAACTCATTGTTCCGTCTGGCTCTGCTGCTTCTGTGAGCCCAAGTAACGCTTTACAGTAGGATTATCTTAACTATTTTCTATTAACTTGGAAAACACTTGAAGTTGTGTAACTGCAATGGCTTTTGTTTCCAAATGTTAACTGATGAAATCCCGCAGCAGCAGCTGGGGCCTGAAGATGCACAAACCTCCACCTGCTGTATTCTTTTGTGTAATTTCAAATGTTTTCATCTTTTAGTTTGAAACGGTTTGGTTTGTTTTGTTTTTTTTTTGCATTCATTTTGTTTCTGTTTGGTTTCTTTGGTTTCGTTTCCATTCTCTAACTTTTTGTTTTCCCCCCCCCCAAATGTTTTGGTGATTCTCCAGAACCAACGAAACGTATGCTTTCCTTCCAAGGGTTAGCGGAGTTGGCTCATCGTGAGTATCAGGCAGGAGACTTTGAAGCAGCAGAGAGACACTGCATGCAGCTTTGGAGACAAGAGCCTGATAATACTGGTGTGCTTTTATTGCTATCGTCTATTCACTTCCAGTGTCGCAGATTGGACAGGTAGGATTGAGATGCTGTGAGCTTGTTTTGTGCTCCTCGTGGTACCGAGCACAGTCAGGAAAAGTGCTTATCTAACCTTGGCTTTAGCACTGAATGCACGTGCTGACTGCGTGGTGGCAGTGATGACTGGCCCAAAATAATGCTCTTGTTTCTTGAATTCTTTTAGGATGAGAGGAATACAAGTGGGAGTTGCTAGCTGTGCAGCAAGCATCAGATAATGCTGTTATTCTCATGCTGTTTTCCCATTTACGCTTGCATGCCCCTGAGTTATTTGCACACGTGAACAGAAGTTTTCATGTGTTCCACCTGCGGTGTGGGATTAATATTAAAAAGTTCTGAGGCTGACTGATTGATTGCTGTGAGATGGCATTGCTTAATTCAGAGTTGTCTGTTTCTTCTGCCTGCCTCTCCTTGACCTAGCTTGTGTCTGTCAAGCCTCTGGAACTTTAAATCTCTGTGCTGGTGAAGGAAGTAATAACTTGTAACTGGGATTTATTCTGTGTAGGCTTCCGAGTGAAGCTGTAGTAATGATTCAGATGGGGAAAAATAAGCAGAGGAGAGCAGGACAGAATTTTAAACCTAAATCTGTCTGCTATATCCTGTTCCTTAAAAACTGTAAGTGAAACATGGCACAGAAAAAAGCATGTGCAGGTTTGAAGAGGCTTAACAGAGTACTTGTGATGTTTTGTCCATGCACGTAGAGCTCAGGTTTGAGGAGAAGAATTGAATCCTGCTGATTGCAGCTGGATTGTCGTTCTCAGTAGAACCTGCAGTGGGAACAGGGGAGGTGGTTAAACAAGGAGAGTCTACACGTGAGGTAGCTCAGTAAGTCCAGATGTGTTTGCTGGGTGTTTGCTTCATCAGACAGTAGACAGGCAAACAGAATCAGTTGTCTTTGTTAACTTGTCTGATTTTCTCCAGGTCTGCTCACTTCAGCACTTTGGCTATTAAACAGAACCCACTGCTGGCCGAAGCCTACTCAAATCTGGGCAACGTGTACAAGGAACGTGGGCAGCTGCAGGAAGCCATCGAGCACTACAGGCACGCGCTGCGCCTCAAACCAGATTTCATTGATGGATACATTAACCTGGCTGCTGCGCTGGTAGCTGCAGGAGATATGGAAGGAGCAGTGCAGGCGTACGTGTCTGCCCTTCAGTACAACCCTGTGAGTAGTGCCTTGTGGCAGGAGGGGTGGATTGGTGGGGGATACGTGGGGAGAAAAGCTGTTAAAGAGCACAGGAAGCAACGGCGTTGTTTAATTTAATAAACCAATCATTTAATAAATACAAAGCAACGGCCAAAAATCACACCTGTAGTAGGTTTATGAAGAATTTGGGATGAATTTTAGGGGACTGGGGACTTCCATTGCGAGGCCTCTGTGATGACCTTGGGGGCAGCTGTGAAGGCGTGAAGCTGACTGCGTGGTTTTGCTTTTTCAGGACTTGTACTGTGTTCGTAGTGACCTGGGGAACCTGCTCAAAGCCCTGGGTCGCTTGGAAGAAGCCAAGGTAGGTGTTGAGTAGAATACATGTAAACGCCAGTGTTTTGAAAACTTGAACTTTGCACCAAGTCTTCAAATCTGCGTTGATCTACAGACAGTCTGAGAAACTGCTGCAAACTGAAGGCACTGAAACGCCCCAGAGTAGTTGCAGGGCAAGATATGGCATGTCCATGTTTAAAAGTTGGTTTAAGTCAAGAAATGGAACGTTACCGAGCCTTCCTGCTGAACTAGACTACCTGATACCATTCTGAAGTATTGGGCAGGGGCTCCACCATGCTCTTTTCTGGAAATAAGTAACAGCCCTTCAAATCTGAGGCTTGCCTGCTGCTGCCAAGCAGAGAGCCTGTGGTTAGCTCGAGATCCCTGTACGATGCAGGTGCTATTGAAAATGCTGCTCTTCTAAAGTCCTTTGTGGCTTGTAAGTGGAGAAGAAACTTATCCAAATGTTACCTTGTAATATTGGCTTTTAAAGATATTTATTCTTTTTAACTTTTCCCTCCCCTCGATGGTGGAAGAAAGGCTAGTAAATGATCAATAGCTGCAGTCTGCGCACCCCTCAATAACTTTTCTTCACGCCTTCCCTCCTCCCCTCCCTCAAATAAAGAAATCGGAAGGACAAAGCTGGTTTGTTTGGAAATGAACTGATCAAAGAAAACTTGCTGTAGTGGAAAGGTGGCTTCTAGCAGTCTTGCGTTTCCTAAACTGAGAATTTGAACACCGAGATG